CCCCAAAACCCCAAAACCCCAAAACCCCAAAACCCCTTTAGACTTCAAATACCCTTTTTAATTTTATTTCTCACTATTTCTGATGAAATATTTAGAAATGGCCTTGTTAGCAGCAGGCTGTCACACCAAGCTGAAGACTTAAATATCAAAAGTTTGGACATTATTATAGCAGTAAAATTTTAGACAGAGTTATTTCTCCATGCTAAGTATTAAGCTAGCAGAAGGATCTTATTAGCCATTCTTAGGTAATTATCTGACTTTTACTTTATTTCCAATACTTCTGTCTAATTGTGATGCATCTAGGAAATTAAGAAGCAGAAATACCATCATATTCATTATTTATAGTGCTATTTCTGGTGTTCTGTTGGTGTCTAGAATCTTCTGAATGTAAACTTCTCTTGTTCTTCCTATAATAATGTCACATCTGGGATTTATGAGAATAACTAAGCTAGAAATATACCCTGTGTTCTTGAGAGAGTTCAACTTGTTCTTATTAAACCAAATAGGCTTGTCCCATTTAAGTTTATTCGTAATCCTTGGGAGGCTCTTTTTCAAACTAGTTAGGCTGCTATTAATCTGCTGGAGCAAGGGGTGTTTTCCCATCTGAATCAGATCTTGAGACTTATTAATACTCGATTCCTTCGATGTGTTAAGAGTAGCCGAGGAGTGGGCATCATTGCTAAGCACATTATTATGAGCAATCACAGAATCATTATAACTATCAAGAATTCTTTGTAACTTCTCCTTCTGTTTGAAAATTTTAGTATAAAATTTCCTATGGATGGCATTTAACGAATGTTTTTCTATCTTCTGTTTCATAGTCTTGACTCTTTCTGGACTGTAGAGAAGAGAGTTAATATCGTCTTTATGGTCAAATAATCCCTCTTGTTTTGCCTTTTCTTGCATTTCTTTTGCTCTAGTTTTTGAGTTTTCAATCTCTTGATCTAAATCAATCTCTGTTCTTAGCTGGAAGTCAATCTGTTTATCATAATTTGTCTTTCTCTCTTCTAGTGTTATTAAATCCTTGAGCAGTTGACTGATCTTGTTCATGGCGTCAGGCTTCCCTTGGTTAATAACCTGGTGTAACTTCCGATTAGTGCCAAATTCCTCAGTTTTTAGGTTCAAGTTCCTATGAAGTAACTAAAAAAGGCTTACTGGGCTGTCATTTCCTTGATCTTTTCCTTCGTCTCTCTAACTTCTCTCTTCAAGTTAAGAATGTACCTAGGATCTTGGACCTGAAAGACTCTGTTCTTCGTTTTCTGGTGTTCCTCACTGAGGTTCTTCAACATCTTGGAGTAATTGTGATTTTCTTGGTCTTGGAATTTTAGTTTCTGATCCCTTGTTTTCTTCAGTTTGCCCTGTGATCCATACTTGAAGCTCATAGATGAGTGAGTCTTTTCTCTAGATTTTAATGTGACTGAGCTTACTTGTACTCCTTGACATGTACAAGGAAAGTAGAAAGGTATTCGTTTACTTTCTTTACGTTATTATGTAAGATTTTGTTCTCTCTGTTGAGTAACCTGAGCTTCTGGCTACCATCATACTCATCCTCAGCAGCCTGTCTTAACTTTTCGCACTTATTTAACTGATGCTTCAATTTCATTCATCGTGCAGGTGTGCTTTAGGTCAAAGTTGAGTCGGGATTGGGTTTTAATGTCATGTAAAGACCTATTTCTACCTCCAAGGCTTCCAAGAGCGCTCAGGCTGTGGTTTGAACTAAACCTCGACTGGGAAAGGGCGGATTTGTGGTTGGTTGAAATCATTGAGTTCTTATGTCCTCTTCTACTTCTTTGAAAAGAGCTTCCCTCCAGTCCTGGGCTTCCTTCGCTTGGTCTAATTTTGGGGCTGGTCTTTGCCTCAGCTAGTCTATTCGCATCTAAATTTATATTAGTTATTGATTCTTTAAATGATCTAAAAGCAAGCTGTACTATCGTGCTTACTTTCATTCCTAAATTGCTTATTAGCTCCGTAATCTGCCATGTTTCAAATGGAAAAATAAAATTTAGCTTCTTCTAAAGTCAGGGGTTTTGGGGTTTTGGGGTTTTGGGG